CTAACCCTTTTAGCTTCTGCCTACCTTAAGTCATTTGTCACTCCTCCTCCTTTTATTCAAGGAGTCTCTTGTCTATGTCCTAAGTCGTTTTAAGGAAGGCATATTTCCCCTACTCTCAGTCCTTGCATTCTCCTGCGGATAACCACACCCTTTGGTGCTTATGCGGGAGTCTAGCTGAGATCAATTCATGCCGTCGGCAATTTCTCCCTTAGGAGTTTATCAATAAACTGAGGCTACGTGGAGCTTCTTCTTTTCTAATTCTTTGTCTCTGCGGTATTTGCCTTTTATTCTGCTTCTTTTATGACTTTTAGAGTCGCTCTCGCTGGAGCAGTCCCTTTTTTCTTTCTCTTCTTCTTGTTCTAACATACGCAAGTAGTGGCTGAGTTACACGGAATCTTCCACTACTTGATCAATTCCTGGCAAAACGGTTAGTCAAAGGAGTAGTCGAGTAGCCTCACGGGAGCACTCAACCACTCTTCAAAGTTCATGCAGTCCTCATGCAATCAAGCAGTTCAAACAATCTTGTGCGAGCGACCGGCTAACTCACAGGGGAGTATCCCTTTATTAGTTACAACAAGTAGTTGAGAAGACCTTGTCAAAGCATCTCAGCACTTGTTTCAATGTCCAAAAACATTTCATTCCAAATTGAGGTATCAATAGAGAATTCAAGTTAGTAATAGGTGGTCTTCACGGAAACCTCCTATTACTCTTGATCAAAACCCAGCCTATCTTCAAAAGTGTAATAGGATAACCCCACGGGAGTCACCCTACTACTTTCTCAAAGTCAGACGATCTATGATTAAGTTAGCAGACTCAGGCAAACACCAATCCTCCCTTTGCTTGAGTATCTTACTAGACTTGTTTAGATAGAGTCAAGCAAGCAATAGGATGACCCCACATGAATTATCCTACTACTACCCGAATGACTGCGACTACCATCTTCTTGATTAAGCGATAGGATGGCCCCACGGGCGCCTCCCGTACTTGATCCAATGTTAAATAGATAGGCCGTTAGTAATTAATCATGCCATCCATTAGTCATACTCAAACAAGTAGTAGGGTTAATCACCAGGGAGTATCCCTCTACTACCCAAAGACAATCACCTCATTCCTTCCCCCCGTTAGTTGATCCTCAAATCAAACAAGTATTCGGATGACCCCACGGGAGTTATCCTACTACCAGTTCGATGCGTAGGAGATTAGTCAAAACAACTCTTAGTTAAGTTGTCGTGACCGTTCACCTTCCTTGCGTATGCATCGTAAATGAGCAAAAGGTATGCCAACTCCCACGAGAAGTCGGACAGATCGTCCTAGACTCAGGAGTTCGTGTACTTACACGGTGAGTACTTAGTTCCCTTCCAAGTCTGGTCAGATCAGTGATAGGACAGCCCCACGAGAGTCTCCTACTACCTTCGTTTTTCTTAGTAGTTGAAGATATGCACCCCACGGGAGTACCGGATTACCTCGTAGGTCTAATCTATAAGGTAACAAGGAAACCGCATGGCAGCTCCCCGTCACCAATGTTGGAGTCAAACATACATTTCATCAAATCGTTACTTAGTCGGTTGAATGCATGAGAGTATCCCATCATTCACTTTAGTTAATTCATGCAAGCAATGCGACGACTCCACAGGAGCCTCCATCACACGGCTTTGTCTCCCAAACCCAAGCAGACTAGGTTCCATCTCGGTTCTCCTAGGTTCCTTCCTTACTTCAGACAGGGTTCTTACTTCATGCATATAATCTTTTTCATTTCGATACACTTTAGTCCTGAAGAAAACAGGAACAATAAGTCATACAGTCATGCACGCAGTCCAATAGATGGTTATAACTTGTACGGGTATACGGGAACGGAATAGGTGACGCGTAGCTCATGGTTCCCTGCCTCCAGAGTTCCTCCTGAACTTCGGCAGAGCTCCCGCAATCGCCCTACTGTCTCCGTCTGTTTGATCATCGTTTTCCATACAGTAGACTTTTCAATACAGAGAGATCATACCATTTCAGATAGTTGTGAAAACATAGGGTAATGAGGGGATTAGAACACGGGAGAACGGGGAAAGATGGAGGAGGTAGGCATCGTCAGACGGTGACGATGTCTCCCTCCTCTCCAGTGCCCCGTACTTCTTCGTATCTGACCCGCCCCGTTACCTTCAATAGCAATATGATAACAATGAAGATGATTATAATAATATTTCCTGAACTGATATGAGAACAAAAAGGAAATGGGGGGGGATTAGATCAAGAAGAGAACCGAGGAGGATGGAGGTCGGCATCGTCACACGGTGACGATGTATCTCTCTGGTACCTCACTCCTTCCCTCCACATTTGATCCGCCTCCTTACCCATGATGCCAATCAATGAGCGATAATAAATAACAATGACAAACAACCATAAAAATAAATAATATTAATAATAAATTTGGGGAGCAATATTAATAAGAATATTTGTATTACAATAAATGATTTATCTTTTCATAAATTAAAAGAAAAAGAAAACGTAGGAGCCACTAAAACTGTCATTTCACCCTCTTCGTCATTGGTCTCTCCTTCATTTTACTTTCCTCCTCCTTCCTTTCTCTTCTTCTTCTTTCTTCTCCAGCATACATGCACCCCTTTACTTTCGCCATACAACGCTGGTGGCAGCAACCCACTCACTGTCCCTCATGCGTGTCTCAAGGACCATGCGTGTGATTGCTACCCTGCCTGTCTGCAAGACTGTGCGGGCGCATGCTTGTTACTCTGCATACCTAACCATAGCCTGTTAGTGTCCCGCTGTTAGGCTGTGACGCACGCCACTTAGTGCTCTTGCGTGGAGGTGGTGGCAATGTTGCATCCTTAGTGGTCTGTGGCCCCTCCTTATTATGTGGGTTTCATGCTGTGTGTGTCCAGGGCGCAACCACCCACGTCCCAGGCTCAGCTGCCTAACGCAACTGTTGTTTCTGGGATGACCCAGGGTGAGGTTCAGGTTGCATTTCAGCCAATCTAACATGCCGCATTTGACTGAGACCCACATTGGAAAATGCTGAAATAGGGGCCCCTTGTGGACATTCGGACCCTCCTTCACTCAAGGCGGGCGTGATGCTCGATCGGGCCACAAGTTACCTGAGATAATAATAATAACTAGCTAAGCGCCCCGGTGTGGGCGGTGTGGGCTATGCTCGTAAAAATAAGAAATGTTGTAGGGAACTTAACACAAACCATTCACATAAACTGAAACAGACTTAAAAAAAAAAATGATTCACAGGGTTATAAAGAAGAGTCCAAAACTGGCTACGAAGTCTGAGTTTAACTAACGAAAAAAAAAACCTGACAAATTAAAAAATCAATTTAAATCATAAAAAAAAAAGTAGGAGGAAGGTCGAGGAGAGACAGAGACAGACAAAGAGAGATAGAAAGAAAAGAAAAGATAGATAGATAGATAGATAGATAGATAGATAGATAGAGAGATAGAGAGAGAG